GATTTACCACAGTCCCTCTAAAACTCAGTAACAGTACACTAGAAAATGCATGCCATTAGTTTCCACATCTTTCGTATTTTATTCTTCACTGCCATCCTCCGTTCGAATTTACATAACTCATGCAGCTAAGAAATGACGAAGTGCTTCTAGTTTATGATAATTCAAAACAATGTTTCTGGCCGTCTTTACTGGCTAAAAATGGATGTTATCTGCTCGTTTCTGCTGTGCTCAAGTGTAGAGAATACCACTAAACCACGAAAAGAAAACAGATTTTATTACCGCTCCGCCCCTACTAATGTTAAATATATTACGATAATCATACTGTTACATTATTTTGGAGAGTTGTTCTCTGTGACACGCCATACTAAAACAGAGATACTGCATGCACACACATTCAGACATCCTAACATTATTTGTCTACGTAATCCCTACCCGTATTGAAGCATTTTCCCCAGCAGGAAACAGTTCATTGAACCCCTTAACACAGCCGAAATACCACAATTAACAAACCGTTGTCCCTTAAAACCCGGTTAAGTGCCCAGAGAGATGTAAAGTCTGAGGGTGCCAAAACGGAACTTAGTGCGGGTTGCTAAAGACCTTCCATCCATACCGTTGGAAACTTTGTTGGGTCTCACTTCCCACCTCTATATCTGTCCAACTTCCCAGTCTTGCTGCCATTTTTGTTCTAATATGACTCGCCTCACAAAAAAAAACTGAATATAAATCTCTGGTACATTATTTGCATTGCCTGGTGGGCGCGAAATTCGTGGCGCACGTCAAACGTGTGGTAACATATTGATGTCCTATGTCAAATGTTAATAAAATGTATCGAAAATATTGCCTCACACTTAGCCGATGTCACGACGTACAAACACAAAGACGCAGTCTAACGGAAAAATACTGAACCAAAGATAAGACGTGTCATCTGTGATGATCTCAATGGAAAGAAGTTAAAACTTTCCAATGACATCGAGGACCAGCAGAAGTCAGTCAGTATTGATTCTGTCTTCGAACAGTAGTTGGTCCCGATTCAATAGTCGCCATTATATTACGGTTCGAATTATTTGATTTCGGTCGGTCAGTATCAACTTAACTTTCTGCTCTAGAAATAGAGTTCTTCGGGAACATTAACACGATTAATACCCATCATTCAATCAGATATTAACGGGTGCTTCCTACAGTGAATCTCAGTGTAATGATGTCTTCTCGGTGACGTGTGAGAATAGAAACAAGTGAAAAACCAATACAACATAACAAGCAAGAATATGTGTAGTTCGTCACATTGAGACACACGACTTCAGTGAAAGGACATTTGCATGCCATGTGTGCTCAGTGAAGACCTTTGTACGAGTTAGTAACACGTAAATCATATACAGATATCGCTCATCTGCTGAAGCTGGACCTATGTAATTTCAGAACCTTTATTTTTTATAACGATGAATGGGGTCCCTGTAATAATTACATGCAGTGTAACATAAAATTAAATAAATATTTTAATAAATTCATCTTCGTGTGACAACATATATACTTCCACAATGAAATATTCAATAACATCATATATAAGTGATACGTGATTGGTGTACTTGCAATTACTGAAAGTAGGTGTCCAATATAATATCCTTGTAAAAAGTATAAATTAGGTATGAAAGTGAAGCCCAGAATATAATATTCTTTTTAAAGTGACTGAATCGAATTTTTGGGTTTTTAATAATTTACAACTGACCATAACGAGCTCAAGGTGCCCTCACATGCGCACGTCATATGACTGCACTGCGTAACAACGTGTGCGCAGTTGCCCCACTAACCTAACCTAACCTAACCTAACCCAAACCAACCAAAACGGGGTATTCTCGGTCAGTGCAAAATGGCTTCCTAATGCACGAATTTTGAAAAAAGCGAATTGATGGTCAGAAATTATTGAAATCTTGTATGGACGTCATACCACAGGTAAGTTAATAATATTCATACTCCATTATGCCTTATCACGTTTTATAAATTCGCAAGAAGGCATCAAATGCGTGAGGTGGAGGATGCGCAACGTCGTCTACGACAATTTACCAATAACGATATTACGCGCTCACACAATCCCCGTGTAACACAAATAGTGCTTATATGCGTGTAATACATCATAATGCGTCTAATATTACATAATCTTTCCACAAGAATTGTTTCTTGCAAAATTGATGCATTGTAGATGTTGACGCAAATACGTAGCAGATTCATGCGTAACGATGACCCAATCTAACTCACTATAAATAAGATTCATGTAACGAAGGAATCGGAATTAACATACGTCAATGATTGTACGTCATTTATTAATATAAATCGCCTCACAAAAGAAACTAAATATAAATCTCTGGTACATTAATTGCAATGCTCGGTGGGCGCGGAATTCGGGGCGCACGTCAAACTTGTGGTAACATATTGGTGTCCTATGTCAAATGTCAATAAAATATATCGAAAATATTGCCTCACATTTACTCGAGGACACGACGTACAAACACAAAGACGCAGTCTACCGGA